CAGCTGATGCGAAAGTAGACAAACGGAAGTTGGAGAAGACAATCAAGCTTCAAGAGATCGCAGACTGTACGTTTGCAAGTTGACCGAAAGAAGCAGGTGGACTAATTTTGTCATACATGTCCTTTTTTCTTCTGCTGGAAAGATGTAATATAGACCTAATTTTTTTCAGAATACTACATCTATCTTTACGGTGCTCTCTGAGTTCTCCACTAATCATGACTTTGGAACCTTATTGGTTGTTGACTGTTTTAACTTATCCGTGTAATTAGTGTCTATCAAAGAGATTTAAAGCATATGCACACGCAACTGCTGTTAACACTATTCTCTGTTTACGCCAGATAGTGAAAGGCCTCTGCATCAAAGAGCTGTCTTCTCGTCTTCTTGCGTTATAGCTTCGGTGGTATCGTATCGTGTTGTTGTTTTTACTAATAGTGATTAGAACAGTAGGCTTGAAAATTGACTTGGTTGGAAGTTCGTTTGCGTAGGCTTCCAAGTGTATTAACGGTCATGACACTTAACGAGTTGTGAGAGGATATAATCATAGTGACACCTGTATGAGATTAATGTGCAAATTCCCTCTTAAGATTCCTGAAATATGTTGGGAAAACTTGTCAAATTTCCACCAGTCACACAAAGAACAGTCTGATGACGGTTATCAACCGACAAATTACTATAAAATATGAGGGTTCTTTCAGTATAACTTTTGAGAAAATCGGTCGCGGAGAAATAAGCCAAACAGGGTGAGGAAAAAATAAAGTTATATCAAGCAGAATAACAAGCTCTGAAAGTCTTCCCTAAGTAAGGATAGTTATATGATCAGTCAAAAATTCACGCAAACTAGAAAAGATTGAGGTGAATTACGTTAGTCAGTTTGGAACTTTGCTCAAAACTCGCCATACTTTATAGCTCACATAAAAGGAGAGAAAAGTATTACTATAAAAGAACATGTTTAGTAGGAAGAATATTGTGAAGTCTCAGAATCATGATGACAACAACAAGTGATTACGGACGATTTTCAGCCACAGACAACAACGAGAAAGTAATCGCCCGCCGACATGTCTAACAGTTAGACTGATCAGTTTGAATGTTCTCACTTGCTTACTACTGTCGGTTTGACTGCACAAAAGCGTTTTATATTCTGCAGTAAACTAGACAACTTGCCACAATCCTAATCCATTGTTTCCTCCTAAATGCAGTGGGTGGTTGCTTGTAGAGACATTCTTCAATTGCTCCAAAGACACACCGTAGCATTTGACCACCCCTATGTGTATCTACCAATTTACTTGCTCATGTGGAGCAAGATATATAGGTTGCTCGATGCGTGTTTTATCTAAAAAAAAGTCAAGGAACATTATCCCACTAGACCACAAAAAGGCAACAGTGGATCAATAAGGAGTGCCATAATACTCAGCATTGGTCAGTGAATATGTGAGGGGAATTCATCCAAAGTTATCTCCAAATTCAAAAGAAACCTCCCCAAAAATAGTAAGCTTGCGTTTACTCTGAATGGCCGAGCAACACCTTTTTCTTAACTAACCCTTTATTTACTCTTTCTATTGTATGATTGATTTTGGGCACGTGTCTCCATGCTCTTTTATTAACATCCTATTTTCCTGGGTGTCTTTCACATTACGCCACCCTTGTCAATACTTACAAATCTTCACCCCCGCCCTTATGAAATTTGATTATTCATCACAATTTTGAAACATTGAGAAATACTGCAAAAGAGCATCATAATCTGTACTTATCTCTACGCACCACTTCAGCCAAACAATACATAGTAGACTATTAACTGGCACCCAGAAGAGCAGTGAATTTCCTTATCCTGAGTTGAGTGTTATCCCTATATAAGTTCAGGAAGGCTATCCGAAAAGTCTCCCAAAAGCTAAGGGTGATTCCATATTAGTTTGTTTACTAGATGTATCACACAGTGAAACAGTATTATTTACTGGATGACGTTTCGAACTAAATTTATTGTTCATAACCACATGATATGATTATGAAAAATTAATTTTGTTCGAAACGTCATCCAGTAAATAATACTGTTTCACTGTGTGATATACCTAATAAACAAACTAATATGGAATCACTTACTACCACAGTGCCCAAGTGCTACACATATATTAGCTATAGGGCTTTTGTAGATTTCCGATATTGGTCAGGTGGTAAAAAGTGAACAACGAAGCTACGGCATCGTAGAAATGTATCAGAGGAGTAACATGTGTCCTATCATAGAGATACTGGAGGTTCACACATTCTGAAGCTAGCACTGTTTTTTCGTGACACTCAAAAATTATGTTTCTCTGAATCCTGATCTTGGTCGCACAGTTAGGAAGAAGCGGTTTCGGGAAATATTGAGTTTTGGCGGAGATTGTTGATGGTAAACAGAAGTACTCTGTTTGCCTATGGAGGCAGCCCACACAGCCATCCCCCACTGAGTAGTGACATGTTTTTGTCCTTCGATTCTAGACTCTTTACCAAGAGTTGGTAGCGGTAAATAATTCCCCAGAATTATTGACCACAGCAATCAGCACTGAGCATGGGTGCTGACCCTCACTTTTTAAGTTGACTTGTTTAGCTGAAGGCTTCCGGCCAAGCATCCACGCCATTTGGTACTCCGTCGTGTCACGTTCGTGCACGATCACTAGCCAGTTAAGCAATCAGCACGCAATCTGTTTTGGTCTCGAAATATATCTCGTAATTTGGACAACCAATTCAATTTTTTGCTTTGCCTTTGGTCTATGAGGAACGAATACTATAGAAGTTGTTGGTATTTGATCTTGCGTTAGTAGTATACTCCGTACAATCCGCGACCGTCGATACCGTCAGCCTCTAAATGTTCATTAATACTCCTTGAACGAGAATGAGAGATTCCTATAAATTCCATAGTATACAATCCGTGAATTGGTCTGAAAAATAAACGATTGAGGAGAGTGAAACTACGAAACTGTACAGCCTGCACTGATCTGACAGAAGCTATTCAGATTCTCATGCGCTAGCCAATATTTCAGTTGATTTGTGTAACACTTTGTCATCAACACCCTTAAGCGCTTCTGGAGTCATAACATCAGTTCTTTCCATTTATCCTGACTTTAAAATGGGACCAGGATACTATCTGCCGATTAATGTCCATATGCCATTCGTGGTTGGAATGTCAGCCAACGCGTTGTAATTAAAAGTCCAATGTTCTGCTCCTTAAAATATTCTGCCTAGCATCTCACGTTTCCTTCTTGAGATGTCATCGAAGTCCCATTGTTAAAAAAGAACAATTATAGCTGTTACTTTGAGACCGCTTCTTGCGTTAACCTCCCTCATATTTTAGTGACTCTTCTTGCTAACAGCCAATCACAGTCGTTACAAAGACTTTTACTCAGTTTGCTTTTGAGAAACTCTCTCCTTATCATGTTCGAAGTATACCCGTATTTCAAGTAGCTTCAAATTCCCATTTTTCTAAATATGCAAATGGGAGTTACAGATTCACTGACGCTTCATTCCACCAATTTGTCCTATATTCATACCTATTTTAAATTATTCTTCATGTTTTTAAATCAATGTCGAAATAACCCCATTTTAATTGCATCTTTTAATTTAACCACATTTATTTATATTGACAGTTTCCATTTTGATCTTAATTCAGGAAGAAATATCCCTTTGAAAGCGATTTCATTCTCAAAGCTGTACAACACCTTTTGTATATGAGTCACAGAAGATACTTACAAATAAATTTCCTTTTTATGTATTGAAATTCGTAAGTAAGTGGGAACATTGAAGCGCGTTGCTATGGTCCTAAATGAATATGAAATCCAAACTGTTTGGAAACATGAATACTTCGAGGTCAGCACTGACTACAATAGAATTCAGTAAATAGATGATTGCAAGATTCAGTGCATTTAGTTTATCACGTTAAATTCAGTGAGTTAGGAAAATAAGGTGAGAAAAGTATTGTCAATAAAATAGAGAGTATGTTAGATCACAATAACGTAGAGCGAAATAGTACAACCTATCTAAAAAAAATACGAATAAGGAAGTTTTGCGAATGACATGGTAAAATTAAGCCCAAGTTAACAAAAGGAATCTTACGAATTATTTTTGCACACAAAATTCTGTCTTTATGTTATGTGTTACGAAGACTTTCTCTGTGTTAACGGTTGCACTTATGCCACATGCTGTAATGCGGTTGAATTAACAGCTTAACGCCCTCCTTTGCTCAGCCTGAATGGAACGTGCTCCATGATGCAGCAAGATATCTATCTAGATGAAACTCCTATATAGATAGTTTAACAACAGAAGGCTAACATATAACTTCAGGCAGAAGTGGATAATCGTTGTAACATCCCCTTAACATCAGGGTGCAAAAATGGAGGGCTTGCATAAGTTATTCAGAGAGTCAGTAAAGAATAGTTTCCTCTGTTACCTCGTCAATCAGTTACTAAGGTCTCACACATGCTGTCACTCCAAATTCTACCTTTGGCTGCAACATCTTCTTATGTATATTCTTCCAGTCTGAATTTCTTCCAGACAGTTTACCAATTGCCCCAAAAAACTGTATTGCACATTCATACTCCACGAAAGTTCCTTTCATTTGTCTAAGCTTTTCATCAGCAATGTCCTCACTACAGACTCTCTGAACATGTGCTGAGCAATATCGGACTAAATTTGTTTTTCTGTCAGTGGAGGAAAAAGTGCACCATTTATTCAGTTACCCCATCCATACCGACTTCTGCATTTGATCTTTTCAATGTTTCATCAGCTCTCTTTGTGTGTAGAATATCAAGGAGAGATACTTTACTACTAATTTCTTTTTCTAACGTAAACTGGAGAGTAGGATGGCTGCTAATGAATACTGTCGGAGTGTCTTCCAAATTGCAGTTACCATCACATACGACGAACATTTCATTCGCATATTTTTTTATCGCTCTCTTGATAGCAGGCACAAGATTACACTGTACCAGTTAAAAAGAAATCTGTTAACAATTTTACTAGTGCCGAACCCATAGTGATCAGCACCCAAAGGAAATTAGAGCTTCAATATACACCGAAGCACGAAGCTCAGCTATTCTCACATCATTTTTAGCTTTTGCTAAATCTGCTTCAGCTCTGGTACGAAAAGTTTTACTAGCAAAATTGTATTTTCGAGCACTATGTAGCGTTGCAAGTAGTCTTTTGGTTTGTACTTTCCGACCTTGTAAATACACCTTCATACGAGGGTCAGAATAGAGAATTGATACATACGCCCGAAGACTGCGTCTTTCAGGTGGGAGCATAACTTCTGCATCCCGTTCAACGGTCTCTTCTTGTTCTGAACCAGGGCTAAGAAGTATATCTCTGGTATTTGTAGTTACATCCAACTCAGGTCCTCCATGGTCGAGAAGCTTCATATTGTATATAATCACTACGGTCCCTGAATTCTCTTTAAGTTTATCAAATTGTGCGAAGAAATCCTTCGTGCAGCGGAATGGCGAATACTTCAGAATTATAAACATTTCGAGTTCATGTTTCTTCCTCTCTTCAGGAGTGTCCGCAATAGGAGTTTTCTCTGTGCCTTTAAACGAGGGCATAGGAACAACTACCTCATCAAGTTTCTCCTCTTCGTGGAAAGTCCTTGAGAGAAATAAACACGTATATATGCCATCCTTTTTGGTGAACAAAATCAAGTCCTTTCCAATTCGCATAGAACCAGATTTTAAGCCATTCCCATACATACCTATGGCGGCACTGTCCTCACACTTCTTTAGTGACTTCCCGAATATTATGACATTTTTGACCTCATCTGTTGTCATGCCGCAACCATTGTCTGCAAAACAGAGTAGGAAATTCCCACGTACGGAACTGTCCTTAATTGTATATATGTCCAGCTCTGTCGCACCAGCATCACGAGCATTATCAATAAGTTCCGCGATTGCACCAAAAAGAAACTCATGGGTCGTCGAGTTGGTGTGGAGATAGTCGTAACTAAGCTGAGCACGGTTAAGCTGGGAGTATAATTCCATGAGACAATCCGAAAGAGTAGTGAATTAAGTCCCTGGGGATTCACAAACTACACGCAAACTGGTAAATGTGCGGAACACACCGCTTATAAGAAAATCACGTCGGGCGAACCAATTAATTTGTAGGGGACTTATGTTAGAGTTCACTAGTATTACAAAATATGAGAAATAAAATTCAAGTCAATGGAATGTTAAGTGACAGTATATTACCAAAAATGCAACGACACGTTATATCAACAAAAGGTTTACTTGGAAATAAAGTTGAAGTCCTCTGCTACAAATTATTTATATAACCCACGGAGACGTTAGTTCTTTGGACGGAGTAGGTTGTAGCTGCTGTGTCCCGGTTGTATAATTGTCTTCGGCTGAGCGTAGTGGACTCCTACAATAAATCCGAAAGATACAACACGGTGAGAGCTGAGCTAGTAACCCCAAAGAAACCAAGGAGAAGACGAAGTCTCCAACAGCAGAGTGTATTTTCCAATCGTACACGGAAGACAAGGGTATTTCAACCAGAAGCGTTTCAAACAAAAATTATGTACAATATGTCTAATTTCTACAAATAACCAAAAAGTGTGCAATCCACATTGTTACGCACTCCACAGGGCTCCCCCCTAGAGGTCCGGAGAGACCATCGGAAAAGGTTAAGTAAAGCTGTGAAGTAAATAATAATAGTAATAACAATCTTTGCATAAAAATAGGGATATATTACAACATGCATAAACGTAAGAAGTTATGGGAGTCATGTAAAGTCTGAAAGCATATACAATTAGTTCAGCAATCAAAAAATTAAAACAGAAAGTCATGTCTTTTAAATTTGCACTAACCATGAGCATAGGTTTTCAATGTATAACGAAAAATATATATATGGATGAAAGATCAAGAGTTTCTGAAAAGGACAATGCCTGTTTTATAGGTGAGGTACACATAAGTAAATAATAGTGATAGTAACATCAAAGTTTACAACGAAATACTAACGGCCATGATAATAATGTCTAAACGAAAAAGATAATAATAATTTTTAATACTTTTTGTTGTTGTTGTTGTTTTGCTATGTTGTATACAGATATATATATATATATATATACATATAGAGAGTAACAACACGTAGATTTATAGACAGACAGTTCTTGAAGGAATACATTAATATGCACAAAAAGAGAAGAGTCAAAAGAGATTCGGTGAGACACCAACCATAAAACAGGCAAACATAATAACAATAATAATAATAATTACTATATATATGTATATAATATATGTATATATAACAGCTGCGCGCATGAGGAGAGGAGAGGAGAAACTCCGTTTGCACAGGGAGTAGATTAATTCAACCACCAACCAATGGTTGGTCTAGATGTTGTTTTTTTTATGGTGACCGGAGGAATTCAACTTTTTGCAAGGAAATTTTTCAGATAATTATCCACTTCTTCGATATTATTCAAGGGTTCTTTGAAGTCTGGATCGTATTTCTTCAGAAATTCACAAACATTGGACCGTAATTCTGTCAGTTGATCTGTGACTACTGCGGTTTCCTTTCGGAAGGAGGTTAACAGTTTTCGAAGACCTTGTTCATATCTATCAAAGAAATCTTCTAAAGGGAAGCTTGCAAGATCTGATTCTGTAAGTGTATGGATTCTATCCTTTTCCACTGACCATGACGGCGGTAAGAAATATCGTAAACAAACCTTGAATTTCTCTTGGATTTTTCTATTCATTGCAATATTCGTTTCTGAGGGAAAAGAGGTTACTACAGTTGAAGAGGAATTCACCTCTGTTGTTTTATCTCCAACTGAATTCTCATTTACCAGCGGATCTTTTTTCATTGGAATCGATGCTACTTCACCATTATTATCACGATCCGTTGAATTTCTGTTTCGATGATGCACTGTAATTACATCTTGTACAGGACTCTTTTCCGTTTTACTAGCCTTCTTTCCATTTACTTTATCAGTGCTTCTCGACGTATTTCTCTCTTGGGATTGAGAAGTACTCGGTACTGTTGAACTACTCGCTGCAGCAACAACAGGATTATTCACTTTTGATGGAGGAGTACTTAGTTTGTTACGATTAGTTTTCGGAGTTGTCTGCTTAGTAACTTCTTTCTCCTTCTCCTCCTCCTCGTCTTCTTCTTCATCACTAGTCTCTTCATTGCTGCTTTCATCTTCAGCTGTTGTAACTCTGCGTACTTTAGGAGCAATTGAATTACGCTGTGGGATTTTAGGGACTAATCCACCAGGACGTGGTTGGCGTTGATTAATTGTTGGTAACGGTAAACCAGTACGCTTTTCAACTGTTGAAGATGAAGGACCATTGGATGATGCTAATCCAGCAGCTTGATGTTTCTTATCAGCAACTGTCATAGCACGAGGAGGCGGTGGCGGCGGAGGAGCATGAGTAGATTTTTTGTTCGGAGGATCTGCAGTAGGTGGAGGTGGTTGAGAAGGCCGTTTACGTGGAGATTTGCCATTGGCAGATCCACTCATCCGACTACTACGGTTAGAAGTGGCACTGGAATCATCAGTTTTTTCATCATCAGGATCTTGAATTAATTCAAGTTCCTCTTGTTTTTTGCGGATTTGTTTTTCAAGTTCTGCTTGTCTTTGTTCTTTCGTTTTAATTTTTCGCTTAAGAACTCCCATTGGTGGACTCATATCTTCTTCGGGATCTTCACATTTTTTATGCTTATGATCCGTATTATCTCGACATTGCCAATTATCTGGGACATCTCGTCCGACAAGACTTTGTGAGAACGGAAGTATTCTCCATTTTAGACATTTATCACACTGGACACATATAGAAACGGAACAACAACGACGACGGGCATATTTATCCTCTATACTAGGTGGATCCCGCCAACGTGCTGACAAATAACCAAAACTTTTCCAAAATCGTATTAAACTATCTGATTCTTTATCGATTCCAAGATCATCCCAATACTGCATTAAATGATCTGCCATTGCACGCATTAATTGACGATATTCTTTAGCATCTGCAAAATCTTGTTTATTATGTGTGGGCTCAAGGACCATATAGGGGACATCAACAATGCCAACGACACCACGGCACATCATGCTAGAATCTTGTTGTGGCCCAATCCGTTGGTACATTTTGATTAAACGGGAACAATTATAAACAAACATACCATCACAAGCACGATTCATAACATTTACACCGAAATAAAATGTAAGCGTCTTAGGATCCTTGATTGATTTTGATTTTCTTGCAACAATATTCTGTTTCATTTCCACAGCTGAACGTAGCTCGGCAGCAGCATTTTTAAGACGACGTATTTGACGCAAATGTTCAGGGTCTTCAGAGCCTTGGTAGCGAAGTTCACAATCCCGAGCCTTGCTTTCTGCCTCTTGAGCACGAAGCTCAGCTATTCTCACATCATTTTTAGCTTTTGCTAAATCTGCTTCAGCTCTGGTACGAAAAGTTTTACTAGCAAAATTGTATTTTCGAGCACTATGTAGCGTTGCAAGTAGTCTTTTGGTTTGTACTTTCCGACCTTGTAAATACACCTTCATACGAGGGTCAGAATAGAGAATTGATACATACGCCCGAAGACTGCGTCTTTCAGGTGGGAGCATAACTTCTGCATCCCGTTCAACGGTCTCTTCTTGTTCTGAACCAGGGCTAAGAAGTATATCTCTGGTATTTGTAGTTACATCCAACTCAGGTCCTCCATGGTCGAGAAGCTTCATATTGTATATAATCACTACGGTCCCTGAATTCTCTTTAAGTTTATCGAATTGTGCGAAGAAATCCTTCGTGCAGCGGAATGGCGAATACTTCAGAATTATAAACATTTCGAGTTCATGTTTCTTCCTCTCTTCAGGAGTGTCCGCAATAGGAGTTTTCTCTGTGCCTTTAAACGAGGGCATAGGAACAACTACCTCATCAAGTTTCTCCTCTTCGTGGAAAGTCCTTGAGAGAAATAAACATGTGTATATGCCATCCTTTTTGGTGAACAAAATCAAGTCCTTTCCAATTCGCATAGAACCAGATTTTAAGCCATTCCCATACATACCTATGGCGGCACTGTCCTCACACTTCTTTAGTGACTTCCCGAATATTATGACATTTTTGACCTCATCTGTTGTCATGCCGCAACCATTGTCTGCAAAACAGAGTAGGAAATTCCCACGTACGGAACTGTCCTTAATTGTATATATGTCCAGCTCTGTCGCACCAGCATCACGAGCATTATCAATAAGTTCCGCGATTGCACCAAAAAGAAACTCATGGGTCGTCGAGTTGGTGTGGAGATAGTCGTAACTAAGCTGAGCACGGTTAAGCTGGGAGTATAATTCCATGAGACAATCCGAAAGAGTAGTGAATTAAGTCCCTGGGGATTCACAAACTACACGCAAACTGGTAAATGTGCGGAACACACCGCTTATAAGAAAATCACGTCGGGCGAACCAATTAATTTGTAGGGGACTTATGTTAGAGTTCACTAGTATTACAAAATATGAGAAATAAAATTCAAGTCAATGGAATGTTAAGTGACAGTATATTACCAAAAATGCAACGACACGTTATATCAACAAAAGGTTTACTTGGAAATAAAGTTGAAGTCCTCTGCTACAAATTATTTATATAACCCACGGAGACGTTAGTTCTTTGGACGGAGTAGGTTGTAGCTGCTGTGTCCCGGTTGTATAATTGTCTTCGGCTGAGCGTAGTGGACTCCTACAATAAATCCGAAAGATACAACACGGTGAGAGCTGAGCTAGTAACCCCAAAGAAACCAAGGAGAAGACGAAGTCTCCAACAGCAGAGTGTATTTTCCAATCGTACACGGAAGACAAGGGTATTTCAACCAGAAGCGTTTCAAACAAAAATTATGTACAATATGTCTAATTTCTACAAATAACCAAAAAGTGTGCAATCCACATTGTTACGCACTCCACAGGGCTCCCCCCTAGAGGTCCGGAGAGACCATCGGAAAAGGTTAAGTAAAGCTGTGAAGTAAATAATAATAGTAATAACAATCTTTGCATAAAAATAGGGATATATTACAACATGCATAAACGTAAGAAGTTATGGGAGTCATGTAAAGTCTGAAAGCATATACAATTAGTTCAGCAATCAAAAAATTAAAACAGAAAGTCATGTCTTTTAAATTTGCACTAACCATGAGCATAGGTTTTCAATGTATAACGAAAAATATATATATGGATGAAAGATCAAGAGTTTCTGAAAAGGACAATGCCTGTTTTATAGGTGAGGTACACATAAGTAAATAATAGTGATAGTAACATCAAAGTTTACAACGAAATACTAACGGCCATGATAATAATGTCTAAACGAAAAAGATAATAATAATTTTTAATACTTTTTGTTGTTGTTGTTGTTTTGCTATGTTGTATACAGATATATATATATATATATACATATAGAGAGTAACAACACGTAGATTTATAGACAGACAGTTCTTGAAGGAATACATTAATATGCACAAAAAGAGAAGAGTCAAAAGAGATTCGGTGAGACACCAACCATAAAACAGGCAAACATAATAACAATAATAATAATAATTACTATATATATGTATATAATATATGTATATATAACAGCTGCGCGCATGAGTAGAGGAGAGGAGAGGAGAAACTCCGTTTGCACAGGGAGTAGATTAATTCAACCACCAACCAATGGTTGGTCTAGATGTTGTTTTTTTTATGGTGACCGGAGGAATTCAACTTTTTGCAAGGAAATTTTTCAGATAATTATCCACTTCTTCGATATTATTCAAGGGTTCTTTGAAGTCTGGATCGTATTTCTTCAGAAATTCACAAACATTGGACCGTAATTCTGTCAGTTGATCTGTGACTACTGCGGTTTCCTTTCGGAAGGAGGTTAACAGTTTTCGAAGACCTTGTTCATATCTATCAAAGAAATCTTCTAAAGGGAAGCTTGCAAGATCTGATTCTGTAAGTGTATGGATTCTATCCTTTTCCACTGACCATGACGGCGGTAAGAAATATCGTAAACAAACCTTGAATTTCTCTTGGATTTTTCTATTCATTGCAATATTCGTTTCTGAGGGAAAAGAGGTTACTACAGTTGAAGAGGAATTCACCTCTGTTGTTTTATCTCCAACTGAATTCTCATTTACCAGCGGATCTTTTTTCATTGGAATCGATGCTACTTCACCATTATTATCACGATCCGTTGAATTTCTGTTTCGATGATGCACTGTAATTACATCTTGTACAGGACTCTTTTCCGTTTTACTAGCCTTCTTTCCATTTACTTTATCAGTGCTTCTCGACGTATTTCTCTCTTGGGATTGAGAAGTACTCGGTACTGTTGAACTACTCGCTGCAGCAACAACAGGATTATTCACTTTTGATGGAGGAGTACTTAGTTTGTTACGATTAGTTTTCGGAGTTGTCTGCTTAGTAACTTCTTTCTCTTTCTCCTTCTCCTCCTCCTCGTCTTCTTCTTCATCACTAGTCTCTTCATTGCTGCTTTCATCTTCAGCTGTTGTAACTCTGCGTACTTTAGGAGCAATTGAATTACGCTGTGGGATTTTAGGGACTAATCCACCAGGACGTGGTTGGCGTTGATTAATTGTTGGTAACGGTAAACCAGTACGCTTTTCAACTGTTGAAGATGAAGGACCATTGGATGATGCTAATCCAGCAGCTTGATGTTTCTTATCAGCAACTGTCATAGCACGAGGAGGCGGCGGCGGCGGAGGAGCATGAGTAGATTTTTTGTTCGGAGGATCTGCAGTAGGTGGAGGTGGTTGAGAAGGCCGTTTACGTGGAGATTTGCCATTGGCAGATCCACTCATCCGACTACTACGGTTAGAAGTGGCACTGGAATCATCAGTTTTTTCATCATCAGGATCTTGAATTAATTCAAGTTCCTCTTGTTTTTTGCGGATTTGTTTTTCAAGTTCTGCTTGTCTTTGTTCTTTCGTTTTAATTTTTCGCTTAAGAACTCCCATTGGTGGACTCATATCTTCTTCGGGATCTTCACATTTTTTATGCTTATGATCCGTATTATCTCGACATTGCCAATTATCTGGGACATCTCGTCCGACAAGACTTTGTGAGAACGGAAGTATTCTCCATTTTAGACATTTATCACACTGGACACATATAGAAACGGAACAACAACGACGACGGGCATATTTATCCTCTATACTAGGTGGATCCCGCCAACGTGCTGACAAATAACCAAAACTTTTCCAAAATCGTATTAAACTATCTGATTCTTTATCGATTCCAAGATCATCCCAATACTGCATTAAATGATCTGCCATTGCATGCATTAATTGACGATATTCTTTAGCATCTGCAAAATCTTGTTTATTATGTGTGGGCTCAAGGACCATATAGGGGACATCAACAATGCCAACGACACCACGGCACATCATGCTAGAATCTTGTTGTGGCCCAATCCGTTGGTACATTTTGATTAAACGGGAACAATTATAAACAAACATACCATCACAAGCACGATTCATAACATTTACACCGAAATAAAATGTAAGCGTCTTAGGATCCTTGATTGATTTTGATTTTCTTGCAACAATATTCTGTTTCATTTCCACAGCTGAACGTAGCTCGGCAGCAGCATTTTTAAGACGACGTATTTGACGCAAATGTTCAGGGTCTTCAGAGCCTTGGTAGCGAAGTTCACAATCCCGAGCCTTGCTTTCTGCCTCTTGAGCACGAAGCTCAGCTATTCTCACATCATTTTTAGCTTTTGCTAAATCTGCTTCAGCTCTGGTACGAAAAGTTTTACTAGCAAAATTGTATTTTCGAGCACTATGTAGCGTTGCAAGTAGTCTTTTGGTTTGTACTTTCCGACCTTGTAAATACACCTTCATACGAGGGTCAGAATAGAGAATTGATACATACGCCCGAAGACTGCGTCTTTCAGGTGGGAGCATAACTTCTGCATCCCGTTCAACGGTCTCTTCTTGTTCTGAACCAGGGCTAAGAAGTATATCTCTGGTATTTGTAGTTACATCCAACTCAGGTCCTCCATGGTCGAGAAGCTTCATATTGTATATAATCACTACGGTCCCTGAATTCTCTTTAAGTTTATCAAATTGTGCGAAGAAATCCTTCGTGCAGCGGAATGGCGAATACTTCAGAATTATAAACATTTCGAGTTCATGTTTCTTCCTCTCTTCAGGAGTGTCCGCAATAGGAGTTTTCTCTGTGCCTTTAAACGAGGGCATAGGAACAACTACCTCATCAAGTTTCTCCTCTTCGTGGAAAGTCCTTGAGAGAAATAAACATGTGTATATGCCATCCTTTTTGGTGAACAAAATCAAGTCCTTTCCAATTCGCATAGAACCAGATTTTAAGCCATTCCCATACATACCTATGGCGGCACTGTCCTCACACTTCTTTAGTGACTTCCCGAATATTATGACATTTTTGACCTCATCTGTTGTCATGCCGCAACCATTGTCTGCAAAACAGAGTAGGAAATTCCCACGTACGGAACTGTCCTTAATTGTATATATGTCCAGCTCTGTCGCACCAGCATCACGAGCATTATCAATAAGTTCCGCGATTGCACCAAAAAGAAACTCATGGGTCGTCGAGTTGGTGTGGAGATAGTCGTAACTAAGCTGAGCACGGTTAAGCTGGGAGTATAATTCCATGAGACAATCCGAAAGAGTAGTGAATTAAGTCCCTGGGGATTCACAAACTACACGCAAACTGGTAAATGTGCGGAACACACCGCTTATAAGAAAATCACGTCGGGTTAACCAATTAATTTGTAGGGGAGTTCAGATTCAGATTCAGATTATAAGGATAGAAGGCTCTTGTTGCCTATGTTAATCCTCGCGATATATATCTCTGCAGAGATCCAGTTTCTCTTTGAAAGCGTTCACCGATGGAGCTGTTACTACTGAATCAGGTAAGGAGTTCCAGTCGTTGACCACTCTGTGAGACAATCTAAACTCCAAACGTATTTTATTCGACCTTGGTTTGAGCACCTTCTTCTGGTGACCCCGTAAATGTATTCTAGAGGGAGAGAAAAGGTTTGAAAGGTCAATCCCTAAATCACCCTTGAATATACGGTAAGCCAAAATTAAGTCGCCTCTCCTCCTTCGATATGATAATGGGAAGAGATTTAAATGCTCCATCCTCTTATCATAAGGAAGGTGTGAGATGCCATTAACTAATTTTGTTCCTACCCTCTGTACTCTTTCCAGGGTATGTGCCTCTTTTTTGAAGCATGGACTCGCCGCTTGTATGCAGTACTCTAGATGAGGCCTGACATATGTTGCATAGAGTACTTGGAACATACCCTCGTCTAATCGTTTGAAAGATCTTCGAAGTGCCCATAGCATTCGAAAAGCCTTAGCTGCGGCTCGATTACAGTTTGCCGTTGTTTTTAAGTCATGACTAACAATAATTCCCAAGTCCTTTTGTTCCCTAACATCTGGCAGTTCTGTGTCCCTCATGGAGTACGACGTGTAAGACTTCTGACCTAAGTGCATTACCGCGCTTTTCTTGGAATTAATTTCCAGACTCCAAAGGTTAGCCCACTCGGTTAATTTGTCTAGATCGTTTTGTAGTACCAACCTATCATCGCTACTATTTACGGTTTTCCATATCTTAATATCGTCCGCAAATAGTAAGGAAGATGAGGCAAGAATTTTTGGCACTTCATTTACGTATAATAAGAATAGCAGGGGACCAAGTACCGTTCCCTGAGGTACTCCACTTAGTACTGCTTTCCACCCTGACAGTACACCATTAACCCTTACCTTCTGTCTCCTATCCATCAGGTAGTCACTAAACCACTCGCATAAGCGTTGGTCTAATCCAAAATGTTTAAGTTTACTAAGAAGACCTAAGTGGGATACCTTATCGAATGCTTTACTAAGATCGATAAATACAACGTTCAGTAGATGGTTTTTATCCCTGGCCTCGACCCAATCTTCCCTAGCTAACAGTAAGTTTGTCAAGCAGGATCGTCCTGGTCGGAATCCATGCTGTTCCACTGCCAGTAAGCCATGTTTTTCCGTATGAGCTAAGAGCTGGTCCCTTATGAGTTTTTCTAACACCTTTGCTATAATGCAGGTCAGACTTACAGGCCGGTAGTTAGATACTAACTGTCTATTCCCATCTTTGAAGATGGGGCTTATAAAAGCATCTTTCCAGTCTCTGGGTAACCTAGCCTGGGTCAGAGACATCTGAAAAATCTCCGTAAGTGGAATGTATATTATATCCGCCAGGGAGCTTAGCAATCTAGGGTGAAGTCCGTCTGGTCCAGGTGATTTACCTGGCTTCAACTTAGACAGTAGTTTCAGAACCATTACATCATCTACCACAATTGGGGGCATTTTAGGGGCTACACCAGTTACCTCCCTACACCCCTGGGTGGTACGATTAGACGAAAAAACATCACAGAAATATTCGGAGAGCACCTCAGCTTTTGTTTCGTCTGATTCTCCAGCCTCTCCTGTGTTGCTAATGAGGGACGGTATGCCACTACTAGTTTTAGTCCTACGTTTGATATACGAGAACAGTCTTTTTGGATAATTCACACAATCCAGTACTAACTGTCTCTCATACTCTA